AAAAAAAAAAACAGATAATTATGCTGGTCAGTCAGCATAGCAGTTGCTAAGTAAGGAATAAATTGAATGTAGTCAAAGATGAATTGATGCTACATGAAAATTAGTCTTTTTGTAATTTTCAAAATCACGTTTTCTACTAATTAGTATTCATAACATTAGCCAAACTGTTTTTACTAAAAATATATATTTATAAGTTAGAACTACAGCACTCATAGGGATGGCTATTATTTTTATTTCAGAGGTTAGCCAGACAATTTAACACAAAGGCTTATTTTCAAACGTTCCTGATCCTTAAGCCCAGTAAGCTTATGTTCTATATTTAGTATTGATTTAGTATCACCAGGAAGCAATAATTCTTTGGGCCCTGCTCCCATATGTTCTTGGTTAGAAAGCAAGCACAAAAGATAAGCAATTTCGGAAAGTTTATAGATGAGAGAATTAGAACTTTGGCATTATCCTCAAATACAACATTCTTTCTGAACATCCCTTACTAGAGTTGTTCTTAAGCATTTCAAATTATCCCATGTGCCCAAACAGCTTAGGGAGAGCATTAAAGAAAACATATGTTGCTTAGGAAAGAGGCTTGACAGATTTCTTTTCTCCCTTGGAAAGAGGCAGAGTAGGAGAGAGAAGGGTTAGTCAGCCTTTGCTATGATCTTTGGAGCATTTTAATAACTGGGGTCACTATTCCATGGAACTTGGAAATGCAAGTCACAGTTTGTAGGCCACTTCCCCTAAAAAGATTAATGGAATAAGTGAAACAGGCTGGGCGCAGCGGCTCACGCCTGTAATCCTAGCCTTCTGAGAGGCCGAGGCGGGTCGATTGCTTGAGCTGAGGAGTTTGAGACCAGCCTGAGCCAGAGCAAGACTTCGTTTCTAAAAGTAGCTGGGCATTGTGGCAGGCACCTGTAGTCCCAGCTACTGGGGAGGCTGAGGCAAGAGAATCACTTGGCCCAAGAGTTTAAAGTTGCTGTGAGCTATGACGCCACGGCAGTCTGGCACTCTACTGAGGGTGACAAAATGAAACTATCTCAAAAAAAAAAGAGAACTCGAAACAGTCACATACTTGTTCTTTTTTTCCCCTTTCATGCTCTCCTAGAAACCGTAATTCCCATAGCTGACCCCTCCTTCGAAACCACGTCTTTTCTGATTTCTCCCTAACATAAGTGTTCCCTGGTGTCCTTGTCTTTGCCTTCTTGTTTTGTTTGTTTGTTTGTTTTTGATACAAAGCCTAAAGCTGTTGCCCTGGGTAGAGTGCTGTGGCATCACAGCTCACAGCAACCTCCACCTCTTGGGCTCAAGAGATTCTTCTGCATCTGCCTCCCAAGTAGCTGGGACTACAGGCGCCCACCACAACGCCCAGTTATTTTTTGGTTGCAGCTATTATTGTTGTTGGGCGGGCCCGGGCTGATTTTGAACCCGCCAGCTCAGGTATATGTGGCTGGCACCTTAGCCGCTTGAGCCACAGGCGCCAAGCCAGTCTTGGGCTTCTTGTATTCTCACCCATCACCATGATCTGCTATGGGTGTTAACCTGTGTATTC